GCTTTACATCAATAAGTTAAAAATCATCTAAAAATTAAAAGAGTTAAAAAGCTTGTTTAAAAAGATATGTTTTTAAATGTCATTTAAAAATGTCTATCGAACTACTAGATCTTAGTACAAGTGGGATCAAGTTCCATAGTCTCGGTGCCGCCACAGCAAATGCTCCCTCTCCATAATGTTTTCAGTCTAGCTTTCGGGGTCGCCAGAAGGTATTGAGAGGACAATCTTAATTTCCGTTCAGAGGTGTGGTACTTTAGTAATTCACTGATGTAGGAAGGCGTGGTTCCATTGAGAGCTTTGTAGACCAGTAGGAGAATTTTAAAAACTATACGGTAATGGACAGGTAGCCAGTGAAGCTGTTTGGCTATAATTATGATCAAATTTCCTAGTACGTGTAACAACTCGAGCTGCTCTGTTTTGCATAGATTGCAATCTTGAAATTAGATGTTGTGGAAGACCATAAAGCAGGGAATTGCAGCTACCCAATTTTGCAGTAACAAAGGCATGAACAACAATTTTGGCACCCTCCTCATCAATGTACTTTCTGATTTTGGCGATACTTCTTATGTGATAATGAGAAGACTTGCAAATTGATTTTAAGTGGTCCTCAAAGTTTAAACATTTATAAAAGATGACACCTAGATTACGAGCTGTGGATGATGGTACAACTGTCACGTTGCCAATTTGAAGAGAGTCTAAAGGTCTGGGATGATACCTTGAGCTGACGAGAACAACTTCAGTCTTGTCTTGATTTAGTTTGAGCTTGTTGATAACCATCCAGTTATCTATATCACAGACACATTGCTCCATAGCAGTTTTACACTCTAGCATTTTATCAAGACAGTCAGTTTTAAATGCCACATAGAGCTGAGTATCGTCAGCGTAGAAATGATACTCTAAGTTGTAACACTTAATAATGTCAGCAAAAGAAGAGGTATATAGTAGATATTAAAGAGGGCCAAGGACTGATCCCTGTGGGATGGCATGTTCCAAGAGACATTGAGAGGAATTGCATTTATTGACGTTAACAAACTGTTTTTGGCGATGTTAAATAAGATCTTAGCCAGGCGAGTACTGTTCCTTTGATCCCAAAACGACAAGATAACCTTGATAATAATTATAGGATGGAATGATCTACAGTATGAAAGGCAGCAGATAGGTTGAGTAAAAGTAGAATGACAGTGTTATTGTTCTCAATAGCAGTGAGAATATCATTGTGAACTCTAATGAGGGCCATTTCAGTACTGTGAAATGCTTTATATGCGGACTGAAATGTCTCGTCAAGATGGTGCCTCAGTATACGATCATTTAATTGCAAAGCAACAGCCTTCTCTATTAGCTTGGACACAAATGCCAGATTTGAGATTGGGCAGAAATTTTTTAATAAATTGTTCAAAATCAGCATCTTGTTTCTTGAGAAGCAGTTTTAATACAGCAACTTTCAAAGCACATGGCATCACACCATTCTTGGGGGACATGTTTATAATCAAGGTTAGTGTAGGTAGGATGATGGGAAAGCATGTTTTTAGAACAGATGCTGGAAGTGGATCGAGGTCACATGATTTTGTTAATGTCTTCTCAGCAAATTTCTTTACCATATCCAAAGTAACTTGTTGAAAGTTGTGAATCTGCACATTGCGCAGCATCCTTGGAGACCCAGGGGCTGTCGGTCGATTTCAAGTTAGGGCATGAAGAGCCCCTGGGGACATTGTCTTACAAGACTAGTTCCAAACGGTCGCAGTCGTTCTGCCATCTGATTGGTGCCAGAAAATCTTTGTGTTTTTCTGCCCAATCAGAGTGAAGTGTGCTTTAGAGTCCTTTCGTGTGTTTTAACACGGACATATACTAGTAGCTCAGTTGCTCACTATGTTTGTTTGGACCGTGCGACGGAGATTTGCTTGAGGTGAAAAGTTTCAGTCTCAGCACACAATGTAAGAGAAATCGATCAGATTGTCCGCGAAAATCTTACCGGAAATTATACTGAATACTTTCGCAGGTATCACTAGAGAACGTGTTTTAAAGTTTGCGAGGTTTGTATACAACACGATGGTTGCAGTCATTGATATGTCGCTTTAAACGTTAAACGAGATTTAAGCTTAAATCTTTCTAGATTTTTTGCATAATTTGCTGTGACTGAAACTTTGCCAATCCCGTGAAGTTATTTCGTCGCACGGGCCACGCAGGTATGTCGAGCAACTGGTACTTGCGCAACTTTCTGTGCGTGCCAAAATCTAATCTCATCTTCGCTTGAAAAAAAAGAAAAGCTAAGCGTGGAAACTTTTGCTTATTAGATGTGGGTAGATGACCCTGTACTACTAAGCTGACATTTGCAATAAAGCAAACCCGCCCTTTCCATCCAATATTTCTTGGTCTTTGGTTTTGTTTTTCCCATTGAAA